TGCTGTGAATCCAGTGTACTGGATTATTGTAGGCAACCTTGGTGAAGGGTAAGAGCTCAGCCCAATTGTCTTGCTGATAGTTCACATAACATGGAGGTATTGCACCAATATGCCATTTGTATGTTCACAGCCTCCATTCATCTGCGGGTGATGGGAGAAACTGAGGCCCTGGGAGGTGCCTAATAATTTCAACTCCTGCCAAAAGCTTGAAATAAATTGGACACAGCAATCTGAAATTATGTGTTCAAGTCCTCTGTGCAATTGATACATGTGTTGTACAAATACATGCTAGAATTTGCAGATGGAATCTTGGGACAAGTCACAAAGTGGTCCTGTTTGGAGAACAGGTCTGTGATAACCCAAATCACTGTTTCCTGTGCTTTTTCATGCACGGCCATCAGAACTGGCATTTCACAAAGTGGAGAGTTTTAACAAATCCAAAATGCCCCATGGTCTTGGTATAATGTCTGCATTGCAAATCCAGGGTTCGCTGCCTCGCAGGCATATACAATTTACTCTCCATCCACACCAAGTCAACCCTTAGTGAAAGTTCTTTCTTATGTAGTCAGAACCACTTGTCCTTTGCTAGAGTTTCTTTTAGCGCTTGAGCTATGTTGCCAGCTACCTGATCTTTTGAACTTTATATTGCTTTGTGAGGGCTAGTGGGCTACTTGTTTGCAAAGGATGATGGAATTGACAATCATCTTTTTGGTACTGTTGTATTGGGGCATCCTGGACAGGGCATTCATCAGGAAATTCTTCCCTCTAGGGAGGTAGCAAAGAGTGAAATTGAACCAGTTGAAGTATTGAGCCCATCTGACTTGTTTGGGAGATAGCTTTCTGGATTTTTTTAGCACTTCCAAGTTCTTGTGGTCAATCCAGACTTCAAAAGGGACCTTGCTGCTCCCTGGGAATTGTCTCCAGGCAAGAAGAGCCTAGCAAATTCCATAAACTTCCTTCTCCCGGCTGCCCAGTGCCTTTCTGCTTCAGAGAGTTTGCACAAGGTATAGGCACAGGGTTGTAGCCCTTCTTGTAAGTTCTTTTGGAGGAGCACTGTCCCCACTGCCACATTGTTGGCATCTGCCTGAATGACAAATGGTTTGTCCAAATTGGGGTGTTTCAACACTAGCTCAGCTGCAAAAAGGTGTTTCAGTTTCTCGAAAGCAGTCTGGCATTCCATTGTCCACTTAAATGGTTGGTTTAGTGATTCCTTTGATTTTTAAGAGATTCATGATTGACAGTTCTCTTTGGGCAAGGACTGAGATAAACTGTTGGTAAAAGTGAAGCCAAGGAAGCTCTGCAACTGCTTCCTTGTACGAGGGGCTTCACACTCTAGGATGGCACTCACCTTCTTCAGGTCTATTTCTACATCCTCCTGGGAAATCTGGTACCCCAAATAGTCTAGTCTTATGAAATTCACACTTGGAGAGTTTCACATACAATTAGCCTCCCCATTTTCTCAAGCCATGCCCTTAGTAGTTTCACGTACTCTTTCATCATCTCAGTGTAAATTAAAATATTATACACCAACACCCCTTTGTATCATTTTTTAATATTTGATCATATTTATATTTGATTATATTTATATTTGATCATGTAGCACCTCATAGATCAACTGCACAAACACTGGGGGCTTCCTGTAGTCCAAAGGGGAGCACTCAGTTTTGGAAGTAGCCCAAAGGTCAGTTAAATGCTGTTTTCTACTCATCCCCCTTCTTAATCTGCACCTGGTAATAAGCCTCCCTTAAGTCCAGTTTGGTCACCGCTACAACCGCCTTTGGGAAAGGGAGTAATGGCCAGCTGGGGAGGAGAGATGCTGCTCTCCTCAACCCTGCAGGCAGTCTCCCCCTTCTTCACCACCTCTAGGGGGTGGCTTAGCCCCGAAATCAGCAAGCTCAGGGCGCTCCAGTGGCGATCACGGATCGAAGCCTCACAAAGGCGAGGTTTCGGTCTGTCGCCAAAGAAGCTCAAACCGGAAAAATCTTTTTTCTCTTGGAAGAGCACGGGTGCAGCCATGCGTGAATTTGCTGGCTGAATGAAACCCCTGGCCAAATTCTTGTCAATGAAAGATTGGATTCTTCCATTCCCCCGGGCATCATCAAGTACAGTTTGGGTTTGGCAGCTTGGCCATAGGGACAATCTCGACAACAGAGTCCATGGGGTGATGGGGGGAAAGCACATCAGACTCTTTTTCTCTGAACACTTCAGCTAGGACCCAATATTCCTTGGGGATTGATAGATCCATCTCCTCCCTCCATCCAAGCTTTCCTTGTGCCTTCTGCTTTCACTTTTCTAATCAACAGCTTGTGACAGCTCCTTATCACTTTTATTACAGCTTCCTGGCCAGAAACTTTCCTCCACACCTTCAACTGGTTTCACTCCCAGTCTATGGAGGGATTTCACTCCTTGACCCATTTAAACCACAGGACCATGGCTTCAGTCATCCCCTGAGCCACAGTGAATTGGATAGTCTTGATGTGGGTTCCTATGTTTAGCTCCACCAGTTCAGTTAGAAATGTGGCTGGAGTGCCCACACCACCACTAATCCATCCCGCTGAAAGGAAACTATGGGGTTTTTTAGTTTCCTCAACCGCATTCCCAACTTTTCCACCACACCTAGGCTAAAGAGGAATCTGGTATACCAGAGTCTAGTAGGCCACCTTCCTTCATTACACAAACATACATAACCTGATATGCTTATATCCACTAAGTACTCAAATTTATACAGCTTGGAGATGGAAAATATGTATAAAAATGATGATATGGTCAAAATACTCACTTGCCTAATAACTGGGCACAAAGCGTATACCTGTGGTTTGTGAACTTGTGGATGTTCCCTTTTTGGGAGGTACCTCTCAAGGTTTAAAATACCATCTGGAATCAAGGTGACATCTGGATGTATGTTTCTCTGTGTGGTAGGTATGTTGTCTTGGCCTATAGGTCAAGAGATGATGTGGAACTTCCTCTATCTTCTCTTACTCAGTGTGAATGATAGCATATTATTAGCACTATGTGTCACTGTCTTAATTTCAAAGTTGGGTGAATCAGCTGAATCCACTGCTGTAATTTAGAAGATGACCATGCATCAGCTGGTGCAATGTGTATTATGAGAGTTTTTACTGCCCACAAATGCTGCTTTGAAGCTTCTCTGTTCTCAGAGGTGGTAGTGCATATTTCGTGTTTTCATAGTCCTTTAGATAGTTGGAGATGTATTAATTGACTTCCTTCTGTTTCTTTCATGCATTTATTATATCTCAGCAGTTAATTCTATTATATTTGAAATCAGTTTCTCTGACTGAAAGAAGGACCAGCTTTTGTTGCCTTTGCTTTCTTCATTGCACAGTAAACTGAATAATATCAAAGGAAGCCTTTCCATTCTGTGACTCTCCATTCCCTAACTGCAGGGGTGGGATTCAACCGGTGTTACTACCAGTTTGGTGACTATGTTTTACTGTGCGTGTGTGTAAAAAAAAAAAAAGCTGTGCTGCCCGGACAGCTGAAAAGCGCTTTGCGCAGGTGCGCGGCATTTGAAAAGCCTCTTTTTTCTTGGTATTTCAACCTCAGCTGTGCCACACAAAGCAACTGAGGTTGAAAAAGCAGGAAATAAAGGACAGATAAGAGCCTGGGTGATGAGTGGGCCAAACAACAGCAAACACAGAACCGGTGTCTGCTGCTCTTCAGAGCTACCTGTTCTATAGAACCGGGCAGAACCAGTAGCATCCCACTCCTTCCTAACAGCATATTTAGAAATCTACCCTTTAGCCAAGAACATTAATCTTGCTTCTCAAGGCCATATGAAAACTAGAGTTCAGGAATTCCCTTAATGCATATTATCAATAAGCAAAGCATACTAAAATGAGTTGTAGCAAAGTATCTTTTAAAAGTGTCCAAAATTGGTTGGCTATTACATTCCTTAGCACTTTTTGTTAAAAAAGGGCTGTCAGGCAGGTTTTTAAAAAGATGACTTTAGTACTTAACTCCAACAATGTGAGTAAAATAACCCCTTCTATTAGAGATTTATTAACAAACAGATAGATGAGCAAGTTAGGACCATTAAGTTGCAGACTGGTCTTCAAATTTGTTTTTATCTTCCTTTAGAACATTTAATCTCAGCAACTAACACTTCAACATCATCTGTCACTGGATCATTTTCTGTTATTTAGCCTTCAGAAGAAAGATGGTTGAATGGTTTGTTTTTATTATAATATGGTTAATCCTTAAAAGTGAATTCTAGATTTAGGATATTTCTTAGTACAAACAGCAGAACTGCAAATTTAAAAATTTTAAACCTTTGGTCATAAAGTCTTTAGAACAGAACTAAATATTATTTTTCATTAATATACAACACATTACATTTGCATTACACATATTTCTCTTACATTACAGTAATGAGTATGTCAACTGTAATAGTATTGAATTCATTGATTATCAGAATGGAAGGAGGAGTTCCTTGTTGCAATTCTGTGTGGTATATAAAGCCATAACCATAAAAAAATATCGTGAAGAAATTCAAATAGAATTAGGCTTGCCTTGATAAGTTAGTGACAGAGTGTTTCGGGAATCCATTTTCAATGGAAATTGAAACATGAAACCAGCCATTAACAAATAGCACTTAAAAGTTATATGCTGCTCTGCTTTGCAGCACTCTTTGAACATTTTACAAATGTTCGTCCCCCCACTCCCCCTAAAAAATCTGGGTCCTCATTTGATCGACCTTGGAAGGATGGATGGCTGAATCAACCTTGAGCTGTTTAGGATCGAACTCCAGGTTGTGGGCAGAGTTAGCCTGCAATACTGTATTCTAACCATTGCGCATCAGAGCTCCCTTAATGTTAGTTAAGAAAAAAATTCTGTAAGTAAGCATTCTTTCTTCTTTTATGCAAATCTTTTATCTTGTGGATCTAAAATTACTGATTCTTATTGCTGATTTTCTTAATCTGTATGTCCTCTCTTTTCTGATTTTTCTGTCTTTATCTTCTGCTTCTTCGTTAAATACTTAGGCATTAGAAAGGCAGAAAGTTTTCTTTGATTCCCTAAGAAGTGAGCGAGATGATCTTAGAGAGGAGGTGATTTTGCTGAAGGAACAATTGAAGGTATGATGAAGCAAATGAACAAACACAAGCAAAAAAAATAAAGTATAAAAGGTAGTGGTATTAAATAATAGCATTTTATTTCAGTGTACCAGAAAGAAGCCTTCCTTGGGTGTTCCATTATTTGATAAGATTAAACTAGCTGTGGCTCATCATTGTTTTCTTATCTAATTGTATTCTCTTACTATGCTGCTGTTGAAGTGCATTTAGCTACATTTGGAAATTAGGAAGAATGAATATTAGATAACAGCATATACATAAAGATACTGGAATGGGACTGCTGATCATTCCACTTCTGTAGCCCAAAGCTATATCATGAATTGTTTTCACTTAGGATAATAGCATAATCTGTGAAAATCACCTCTTGCTGCAAAAGTTTTAGTACTGTTACTTAGTTATTTATTATATTCATACTAGTCTCATACTTTGCATTCATGTGATTTTATTATTCATGATTTCAGTTTTTGCAAACATACTTTACATGGAACTGGATGTTATAAATATATTTTTTTTTGCATTCACAGCAATATGGAATAATCACCAATTTAGAAGTAGCTACCAATGGAGAAATCTCTGAACGTGTTACTAAGGATGGACTATCAAATTCTTCCAATGTTGTTTCAGAGACAAGTCATGTCATTAAATCTGAGGATTGTACAGAAGGTAAGCATTTGCATTGTACTAAGATACTATATATGATCATTTTTGGTTGAAAATGTTTATAATCTAACAATAATATTCTGCATGGTGTACACATGTTAATTTTTCCTTAATACAACAATCACTTAAGGCCATTAATTTTTTTAAAAAGTGTAAGGTTTTTTGGTGAGAAGATTTTCAATTGGGTGTTGTTTAATTCCCAATTTTAGGAAAACCAAATAATTTAAAGCTAGCTTACCTATATACCTATTGTAAATTTCATTTCAATATATTAAGCATAATATATATTATGTGTATATATTATTCATAAACATTAACTTTGCTTTGGTTCCCAGCAGTGTATATGAAAAGCACTTAAAAATATTAAGTTTTAGGTACTAAATACAGATGGTGCTTAACTTATGACCACAATTTGGACCAGAAGTTTCCTCACTAAGCGATGTGGTCATTAAATGCATCATCCCATAACTATCCCTGATTTTACAACCTTTTTTTGCCATGGTTAAGTAAATTGGTTTACTTCATTGATTTTGCTTGTCATAAATGTCATAAGCCAGCTGGGAAGATTGCAAATGGTAATCACATGATCCTGGAATGCTACAACCATTGTAAATGCTGGTTGTTAATTACTTGAATTACAATCATGGCCCACAGGCACTCCGTGATGGTCATGTGAGAACCAGCCATGTCATTTTTTTTTAGCACCATCATAACTTTTTAACAGTTGCTAAACAAATGGTCATAAGTTGAGGCCTGCTTATAAAATTAATTACATTGCTATTCATAATAGTTGTTTATAATTGTAATTCATTAATCACAGTGAGATTTATCCTAGTCATGTATCCATTAACATAGTTTTGTGTATTTAAATTACTGGCTCTACTATATTTAAAAAATTAAAAACCAAGGAATTTTAATTTGTACAATCCACTTAAAGTAATACAAATTCAACAGAGTTGGCAGTGATGCACTTTTCTGTTCAGATATTTTAAGTTATGTTCTTCCTTTGCCTTCATATAATTTGCAAAAATGGATACTTTTTAACATATTACTAATTCTCTCTTGAGGTTTTAAGTGCAAAGGTAAGTGATAGCATACTTAAATGATGTATCTATATTGTGATCCCTTGAACTTTCTTATAATGATCTTTTAGGCAGAGCAAATGAAGTGGAGATGGAAAATGAGATTTTGGAGAATATGGGGAAAAGAGAAATGTTGCAGAATACTGAGCATGAGGAAAACACAGAGGACACTAAGGATCAGGAAATCAATCTCAAGTGTTTGGAAATAAAGACATTGCCTGCTGATGAAAACATAGAGACTAATAAAGTCACTGAAGCCAAAATTACATCAACATTGAAATTGAATAGTGGTCTTGAGGATCCTGTAAAAAGTTACTCAGAATGTATCCCAGAAATTGTTGATTCCCTTGAAAAAAGATATTCAGATGAATTAAAGGTTGAAGGGGCTTCACCAAGTCATATTTTAGAAGAGAAATTGTCTGATAGAGATATAAATGTAACTCATAATCAAAATAATATGACAGATCCAAGTATTGAAATTAATCAGGAAATACATGCCAATTTAGAAATAGTTCCACAACAGCAAAATAAAGAAAAACAAACAGATATTGTAGTTGACGAGTCAGAAGGGAATAGTGAAGTGTTTTGGGAAGCTTTAGATTTTATAAATAGTGGCCACATGGCAATTTCTACTTCACCAGAATTGGTAGATGTTGTCCTTATGAAAGCCTCCAGTATTGATCTTAACAGTGAACAATCAAAAAATGGGGTTGTTGAGAGAGATTTAAACAGAGAATGTTTTAAAAATGAACAAAATCCTAACATAAATGTTGTAACAAAAGGGCCAAAAATAGAAATGTGTGAAACAAATGAAGAGAATGAGGCACAAAGTACGATGTTGCAACAGGAGGACCAAGTAGTAGATTCTGAAGAAGAACAAAAAAGAACATGTATTATGAAAGTTACTTTGAATGAGTTTGGAGAGGAACAAGATCAACTTAAAGTTGAAGAAATCCAATCACCACCTTCAAAACATGATGCAGTTGCTGACAAACAAAATGAGCAAGAGTTAGGAGCAAATAAAGAAAATGTTGAGGACACGAAGGCATTAAATGCTTATTTAGATTTTGAGGGAAAGAATAATGAATGTATTGCGGAAGATGTTCATGCAGAACAACCTGTTGTAGATTATATAAATCAAAGCAAATGCCAGACCCAAGAAGAAACAAATGCAGACATAGAGAATGATTCCAGCTGTAATGTAAAATCAGCTTGCATAGATGGAGCTCTGGCTGATATTGATATGATAAATAAAGAAGTTGCTGGTGGTCATAAAGAAGATTTATCTGTAGGAAAACAGAGTGTAGATAAAGAAGATAATGCTATTCAGTTTGCTGTAACTACAACTACAATGAAAGAAGGTACTGAGGAAACATGCACTAGGAGTAAAGAGGGTAAAAATTGCAAACAACTGCATGAAGAAATTCACAGTATTGTGCCAGATATTGAGGAGGTTGGTTGTCTTGAATCACAGAAGACTGAATTCATTGAACAAAATGAGCCTGAGAATGAAGAAATAATTGTAGAAGAATATCATGAAGCCTTAGATGTTGATGCAGCTTCTTTTGGAGAATTTAAAACTTCTGAAAAGAGAGATGATCTGAATAATAAAGATAATGAAAAGATCAAAGCCAGTTTATTAAATGAAATTGGATCTGAGGCTTTTGTGGAAGAAAGTGACAGTATTCAGCAACTGAAAGGACATAAATCTGAAGAAGTCAAATCTGTGCAGATGGATTTCTCTGTTTCTGAAACAACAAAGTCACCATGTGGACAGCTGGAAGAGGAAAGTAAATTATTGGATGAAATCAGTTCAGTACAAATAGCTGATTATACACCCAAACAGTTGGAAAACCTGGAGAGTGCTATGAATGAAAATCAAGAGGAAACAGAAAGGTATAATAAGAAGGGAAAAGGTAAATCTCGGGAAGACTGCATTATATCATAAACTCAGGAACTGGATCATTGTTCCACATCATTAACCTTGTATCTGCTAAAGAACAAAAATACATCTTTAATTTTTAAAAAGGCAACATTTGAAAGAAGTTCTACTATTGAATTAATGTCATTCTAAATAATGCAAAGTAGTCAATAATGTATGCATATGGAGGCTACCTTTTTTTGTCAAGTTTCTTGACAAGCTTAATTATACTCTAACCAAAGCTATTATCCTAATTCCCAATTAGCTGCTTTTTAATACTCCATCAAATACAGTATTCGTTCTCTAAGAATTTTAATGAATGCTAGGATTGGAAAATTCTTGGCAATGATTAGGATGCTTGCTAGCTTTTTGATAAAATGTCACTAGTCTGATACATTTATATTTGATTTCAAGTTATTATATGGAACTTTAGCTTCAATACTGTTACACTTTCTGAACAAAAAGACAAGGTCAAGCTGAATGAATAACAATAATGACATTATGACAATTGTTACAGAAGTAGTAAGTTTTTGCTGTGTATATTTCACTCACTTCAAATTAATACAATTTCTGTTGCAAAGATATACACATAAAGCACTACTACTTATAGTAAGAAATCATTTACTAAGAAGCATATAGATTTCAGTAACATCCAATTCAGTCTTTTCTTACAAAATTAAGCTCTTATTGGTTTAAATCAGTGGATTAAACTTAATGTCTCTGCAATTGATACATAAATGACACGCTATTGATCCAATTTAGTATTTATAGTTTTGTCTCTCTTCCTCTGTCTCTTTCACTGTAATCTATGTAGGTTTATGTATGATAAAAACTTTCAGTTTGCTTTATATTTAGCCTTTGTATTAAGTAATATTAACTGCAAATTGTAATCTATTTACTTAAAAAAACCTATCATTTGTTCTCTGCATTGTCTTACAAAGAAATAAATATTGAATGTTGAATGCAAACCAATATTTTCTTATATTGGGAAGTCTACCCCTTTGCTGGAATAAGAGCAGTCTTGATTGTCTCTGTAATAATTATCTCTATTTAAATCACAAAATGAAAGATAATAGCTACTGCAGTTTTATGATAAAACTATTTAACACACTGTCTTCTTTTCCTAAAAGAGTTAATAATGGCTAAAATAAATCTGAAGTTTTTCATTTATGAGCATATAAAACTTTTTAAAACATAAAACACTTATGAACGTATAAACCTGGAACACTTTTATAAACATAAATTAATTTTAACTTCTGCTTTACCATATGAAAATTAAGACAATGCAACTTCTAAAATTTGTATAGCTATAATTTGTATTGTATAGTGTAACAATGTATTACATAAAAATAGGAAAACATTAAACATGCAACACAGTATCTAATGTATATAATGGAAATAAAGTTTTATATTTTAAAATGTCTCTTCTCATTTGTTTGTAAACTTGATTAAACAGTAGTTCTAATATTTTGTGCAACTTCATATACATATTTTAAAAGACATATTAATAGTTTTAAAGAAATTGTTCGATAATTATTGCTCATCCCCTATGCTCAGAAATGTATCAGTAAAATAAGCATTCTACCTTTTGGTAGTGAAAAGAGATGAGGGCTGATGAGACAAGACAGCAGAGAAGAAACTGTCATTGAAGAGGATTATTATTTTATCTGATATGGTTATACTGTTCAGTTGTTTCACTGAATATGTGTATACTGCACAAAGTTGTATTAATATGTGTTAGGCAGCAATTCTTGTAATTATAATGAAATTAGAGGAAGGACTGTTAGGTATATTCACTGCCTTGAATTCTTTATAAAAATAATAAAGATGAGATTGAATAATTCTAATCTCATCTAAATGTTTTATACCTGCAGCATCGTTTATAAGGAATTCTTATTTATTCCTTAGTTTCATGATGGATAATTTTCTTTTGTATCTTAATCTTAAAATTTTATTTTCAGCTTACTCTTAATGTAGTAGCTATTCATTAGAAAATAATTTTCTTTACATTAAAGAATTCTCACACAGTGCCCAATGTATCATTACAGTGCCCAATCATGTATTCTCATATGATTTCCACCAAATTCAAATATTCTTGCTTTCAGTAAATATATAAATTATGTACTAATTTTAAGTTATTAACTTAATAATGTGGAATTATTACAGAAGTGTCCATTTTTGGAAGCAACTTATATTTTTAAAATAATTTTATTGTGTTACTAGTTAGAGCCCTCTAAAATATTGAACAGTTTACTATTTGCAGCAAAAAGAATAAATTAGGGGAAAGCTGGTTAATGATCTCAAAATAAATTGAAAAGCACTTGGTCTTCCAAGCTTATAATATAAGCAGGTTGGATGTTCTGTATTCAACTCCATGAAGTGCATCATTTGGTTGCATAATCACTTTGTCAGAATAGAATTGTTCACTTATATCCCATTGTGTTTATCTGACAGTAAAACGAATTGCTCCAAACTGTTAGGGAGCCACCCAGTACAAATTATTTGAAAGGGAGAAAAGGTTAGGTGAAGAGAAGATATTTCCAACTGGTACCAATTAAAAAAGGAATATAATTCCAAATCTGACCTTTAGCCATCTATCATTCTTATCTCTTAATATTTGGCATATGTGGATCTAAAGGAATTGTTAAGCTGTGAATGTAAATAATAGTAGATACTGCTCCTTCATGGCTGCTAATTTCCCATTTATAAAAATAATCTAAAAGGAAAATTAAAAGTTAGGTAGCAGAGAGAGGCATGAATGCCGTATTGCCCCTACCTTAAAAAAGATTTTAAAGAAGCGATTTCTATATGTGTTTGTAAAGTGGCTTGTGAAAGACCGTTAATCTTTTTAACTTACGTGTTTGGAATACTTTGTAATTATTTTATATAAAATGGGTAACATTTCACATTTTGAAGTAAAGTGGATGTTTTGAAATCTAGACTTATTTATGTGCAATTGAAAACAGTAGCAATTTTTTGGGACGCTATATTTGACAAATCTTTTAACGTGAAAAAACCATCATATGCAAGTGTTAGATTCCAGTTTATGAAAAACATTGAGTTTTATATTGTGTCTGAATGTATCAGTATGTAGGGCTGAGCAATGCTTTGAATTCTAGTGCCGGGAAGCACCTCTAAGCATGCAGGAGAATGAATGAATACAGTTGTCTGCGGCATTTTAAGCAGATGCCTCTTCAATACTGAACAATTCCCCCAAAAAGCTATTGTAGATAGGTGCTAGATTCATTTTCCCACATAATCTGAGGTCCCTTTCATAACATTTGAACTATGCACAGTTTGATTATTAAGTTTTAACGTTTATGTTGTAAAATTACATATATTTGAACAATAAAAGATTTGTGAGATTTTTGTATTCCAGTGTTTGACCATAGAATACCTGCATGCTAACAGTAGAAGATAGCGCTTTGCATGCTGCTGGGTGCTTCTATTGAAGTGACAAGCATGCTTTGTGAGATTGGCATAACCTCCCTTGGTTGAAAATCCCTTCCCAGCCCTGTCTGTGACATCATTTACCATGGTACGTGCATAATTTCATTTATCGTTTGCCCCACTAACCTTCATCATTACCTTTCTTTAAAAATGTGTAAAATATCAAGTGTTTTGTATCTTTCTCTCTCTCTCTCTTATAGACATTAGATTAAAAAGACTTCTGGATGAGCGAGAACTTTTACTTCAACAGGTAAATAAAAGCTGAATACTTTGTATTTAGTTTGAGTATATTCATTGTTGGCTCAAAAACTACTGCTTTAGATACTATATTTTTCATGGAGTGAAAAGAGTTGCATGAAATGGCTCCACTTATTTTTTTAAGCTATGAGAGTATATTTCTGTATCTTGCTGTGCTGTAGTACAGATAGTCCTCAACTTACAACAGTTCATTTAGTGACGGTTCAAAATTACATTGATTCTGAAAAAAGTGATGTATGACCACTTTTTACGGTTATGACTTTTCCAGAATCCTCAAATTCAGATGCTTGCCAACTGATTTATATTTATGAACGTTGCTGTGTCCCAAGGCCATATGGTTACCTTTTGCAACCTTCTGACCAGCAAAGTCAATGGGGAAGCCAAATTCACTTAACAACCAGGTTACTTAAATATCAACTGCAGTGATTTACTTAACTGTGACAAGAAAAGTCATAAAATGGGGCAAAACTCGCATAACAAATCTCTCACTTAACAACAGAAATTATGGGCTCAATTGTGGTTGTAAGTCAAGGACTACCTGTATGTTAGCATGCATCAAGTTTATTTATTTTCTAAATTAAATATAATTAATTATAAATTAAATATATCAATTAAAATAAATTTATAAATTAAATATATTTTTATTTACATCTATTTATTATTAAATTTATATGCCACCCATCCCATTGATATAGCAACTCTGGGCGGCTTATAATATAATGAAAAGTGAAAAAGGTAATACAAGGCAATTAAAATGCTCTAATTTGGACTGAATATAATATGTAGGTTTAGCAAGTAGAATTTGAATGCTAAAAAAGGGTTCTTTAAAAAAATCAGATGCTTTTGTGTCTTTGCTCTAGCTTCCCCCATCTGCTTTTATCATTACTTTGTGCCACTCCCCACCAAATAACATTCAAATTGTCCTACTGGAAGCTCTCTGTCTATCCATTTAAGAATTAAACAGGTATAGAAATGGCTTGTAACATCAGCCATGATTCTTATCTTTTCCATCATTTGCTTCATGGCTTTTAGATACTCTTCCCAAGGAACACTTTTAAGAAGTTAGGAGATTTTGGAATTACTGCAAACGTTGGTTGACATAATATAGGTATTAGTTCTACATTTTAAAAAAATTAATTTCCAAATATTGTTTTTTATAGTACAACATACAATTGATTCATCCGCAGGGAACAAATGGCAGAATATGAAACAATATTGGATCAAAACTCAACTTGTAGAGTTTTTGTAATCCAATCTTTATTTTTATAAGTAACTCAGGACAGCAAACATAACCAATAGCTCCCTCCTTTTTTTCCTCCACCACAACAATCCTACGAGTAGGGTTGGGCTGAGAGTGCATGACTTGCCCAAAGACAGCCCAGTTGGCATTCATGCTTAAAGGAGAAGAACTCACAACCTCCCAGTTTCTTGCCTGGTGCCTTAACCACTAGACTAAACTGGCTGTCACAGTTTTTCATTTAAAAAGATATGCAATATAGTACTGCTATCTTGATAACTGCATTTGGCATCTCCAAAATATTTTCTGTATTTTTTGAAGGGGCAGGATTGGTAGCCATTATTCTTCAGTGTTACGTTACAAATGTCTGCTGCATAAGCTTAAAAATTCTCTTGCCATTTTCCAAGTTTTCCTCCTTTATAACTACTTCATAAATCAAAACAGAAGCACCAAGTGATCTTCTGAAAGTTCTAGTGATTCTATTCTTGTGTAACCTGGATCATTTTTCCTTGGATTGATTTTTTTTTATGGCTTTCAGATTAAAAAATTAAACGGACAACTGGAAGAAAAACAAAATAGTAAAATTGAGAAGTTACATTTGGAAGATGGAGTCCTAGAAAATGGCCCAGACATGCATGTGATTGATCTTCAAAGTAAGGTTAATCCCCAATTTAAAGTTTTTAAATTTAGCACTTATTTTTTTCTACTTATAGAATGAATATATCAGATGAAATAGGTCTCAGTTATTCATGCAGAGATACAATAGCTTTTTTTCTGAGCTGTCATTCTAAGCTGCTGGAGTTAGCTGTATACTAAGTCAAACTTAGTGGGAACACATATTGTAACTTGGTGAAATGAGTGGCATTTCTCTCTTACATTGGTTAAAAAAAAGAAGAAAAAAAGCTTTTTCAGAAGGTTAATCAGCTGTATACCCAAAATTGGCCTTTGTAATAGGGAAGAGCAATTGTGTCATGCCCATTTGGGTGGGAAGAGTGGCATAAGGGTTTAGAGAAGTTGCAATGATGCCCAGTACCAAGTTCATCATATTTCAGAAAATAAATATGATGTATGGCTGCATCCTAACAATTCAGAAGCTGTAGGAGCAAGATTTGGCAGCAACATAAGAATTAAGGCTGATAAGGAGTTGGGCAGCTATAGTGAACGGTGG